GAATAGTGGACGTGGAGCTCGAAATCCGCCATGTTTTTGCGGACACTTTTCATTTGCGAGCACGGTCTCCAGATATATATAGTAGAGCTCAGTGGTCTCGTCTCGTCATGTACAATCAGTATGCAAAATTTCATTTGATTTGGGCTCATAATAACTGAGCTATGCTTCAGTGTAGTATTCAATAAACATACTTACCCAGCTAATGACGTCACACGTAGTGCTGAATCAGCAATTTATATTTTCACATTTTTGCGTATAACTTCGGAACTAGATGAGATAGAATAGAGCATTAAACGGCCAATCGGCTTATTTTTTCATGCTCTTTCAGATGAAGCAATAAGATAGATGAAGCAATTTTTGTTGCCAATCTCCTTTAAATAATTGTTGATTTTAAAAATATCTAGTATATTTAATGGTTAATGAGTACAAAACATTCAACAGCTCCACAACAATACATGGAAAAGTCTGCTTAAACTGACCTTAGGTTGGTTTGTTTCTTCTTTATACTCCAGCCATGTGCTGCCGTCAACACTATAATTGAATTGACAGGACTGTAACCAATTACCACCTTGGTATGACGACCCTTGGGTTGCAATGCCCGTTAACTGGACAACCTCCTGAAAATCTACTTGTAGATATGCATCTTCAGTACGATTCACCCGTGGAGTCCACCCCGGGCCATTATGATTCAAACGAGCATTTGAAAACGGATGGTAATTATCTTTATTTGCAGAAGTAATTCCACTGTCAGGAATACGACCATTCTCCATTCCAAGGGGTGTCCCGCAGGTATAATGACCAATGTAAAACGAGGATGAATTCACTGTTAAGTTACCAATTTTGCCATCGGCAGCAGCTCTCTTTAAGGTGTCTAACGAGTTATTAAAATCTGTGCCAGCAACGTAATTAAATGTCAGATCACTGATCACACTTCCTCGAATGAATTTCTCCACTTTGACGGTACGGAATGTCGTGTCGTTTCTTAAATCACCTCGTACGGCATTCTCAATCCGATTGGCTAGTTCCATAAAGTCTCTGGTATCAGGGTTACTGAGGTTGTTATTCCAAACTAAGTTGGTAAATCTGACTGAAATTTCCATCCTGTCTGCATTATTGTAATCAAGGATAGTCTGGCATTGTTTTCCTCCGAGATGTTCCAGACAAGTACAGTTGAAATCATTGTCAAGGTTGGTACACTTGCCTCCATTAAGACAGGGCGATGATGCACAATAACCGACACATTCTCCTGCGGCTTTTGCACCAGATCTAAGCGTCGTCAGGTTGGCACCTGCACACTTAGTACACGACTCGTTCCTATATTCGCGTTGGTCTTGGTAAAACCCTTTTGAACATTTTCCACAGCTTCGAAGGGTTTTATTCAGATAATAACCACGTCCACAACTTTCAATGCACTCAGACGTAACTGTTGCAGCTGGTACGATGGTTATCCTTCTTTCTGGACATGCTGTGCAACCATGGCTACCCAGTTTATCCGTGTAATAATCCAGTGGACAAGCCATGCACATGGGCAATAGATAATTGGTCTCATTTTGGAAATATCCAACTGGACAATCCTCGCACGCCTCGGCAGACTTGTTGAGAAATTCCCCACGGTTGCAAGGGGCAATACATCCTTTTGAACCTGGTTTTAATGTAAACATTTTCCCAGTACAAGGCTTGCAAGAACATTTTCCAATGTTGTTTTGATAGGTATTGTTGGGGCACATTTCACATGCCTCACTCGTGAGGTTGAAAAACTCTCCTTCGTTACAAGGATAAATACATTGAGAAATATTGGTCGAACCTTTGTTTTGTGTGATTTTATGTTCTGGACATTTTTTACACATAAAACTTATTCGACGTTCGTCTTCATAAGTGTTTACAGGACACAATTTACAACTTCGGGATGTCGTATTGAGATATTGGCCCGCTGAACAAGGACCAAGACACAATTCTATGGATATAGCCCCTGTTGATAACATAACTCTGTTAGTCGGACACATTTTGCAACTTCGCGTGTTACTAGGCGCCGTTTCATTTTGGTATGTGTTAATAGGACATAACACACACATACCTTGGGTAATATTGAAATATTCCCCTAGAGCACACTGATCTACACAGCCAGTTCGATTTGTAGTTCCCACAGTCAACGTTGTATTCCCCAGTGGACACTTGTAGCATTTGGGAAATCGGTTTCCCTCGTAAGGCATGAAATATCCAATACCGCAATCAAAACAAGAAGGAAACTTTGTGAACTGCCCTTTACGACATTGATGCATGCAATCATTTTTGCTTCTTGCTCCGACAAAGGCTGTTGTGTTGCCGGGTGGACAGCGATGGCAAACTGGATTTAAAGCAGTTGTCGAATTTTGGAAGTAACCGTAATCACACCAATCGCAAATACCAGAGTCATTATTAAAGAATTTCCCAAGGGCGCAAACGTGTAGGCAGTTTACGTTTGAAGGTTTGGAGTACATTTTTGTGCCGTTAACACACATTGACTCATTGAGTAAACGACGTTTCTTCGAAGGGCACTGCTCACATGCAGAATAATAATGGCCTGCATAAAAATGTTTATAGGTGTGTAATGGACAAGAAATACAATTCTGTAGAAAATTGCCTGGATTGTTACCTCGTCCAGTAGTCGCATGATTAGCAGGACAGCTTGTATATGGTTTTACTGAGTCAGATCCAAGAGGATTAAACTTAATTGCTGTGGCATTGTTAACAAGCAAATCATTTGTGACATACCACTGAACGTTGTTCTTAAGATTAGCTGAAACATTCCCATATAGAATGTCAAATAGTTTTCGTGTCATTGTCTCATTTTCAGCCATTTGGATATTGTCTCGTATTTCAATCTTAACAACATAGATATTTCGGTTACTTGGCATGTAACATGTCGAAAGAACTGGTCGGACCGTACAGTTAACCAAGGTGTCTTTATAACACTCGCCAACATACGAGCTGCTCCTATTGCTCACAAGAAAATTATATGCACCATTTTCAATCACAGACATATTGAGTTCAGCACATGATATTGGTATGTTAGCATATGTAAATGTATATACAGATAAAACTCGAGTGACAGGTTTGACTTTAGTACATGAAATTAGATTTGGATAATTGAACAAACGAGCTGCATTATCAGGTGGAAGTGGAGCCCAAGTCGAAGTTGGCATGTCCAAATGTAAATTACAGGTTGAGGTTGTGTCAATAACTCCACTAGAAAATGCATATTTTTCGACAATTTCGTGTCCTGTGTCACAAGATGTTTTGCATGTTTTCTTTAACTCGTCGTTGTCTTGGTAGAACCTACCAGTGTCATCATACGGTGGGAATGAACACACAGTCCGGGCACTATTAACTGTAGGCAGGCAAGCACATTTATCCAAGGGGTGAGGCAACACTTCAAATGTAGCGTTAAACTTGTTGCCATTTGACGAAATTCTATCAGTATGCACCAGAAGTGCATTGCTTGAAGTGTAAAACACGATGGGTTTACTTCCCGCGAGCAATACCCGGATACCTTGCTCATATTTTAGAGTACCAGCCACTGTCCCACCATCGTGTATGAAAGCAACCGCGTCAAACATATCTATTTCATGAAGTGTAAACTTTATTCGCCAACCGCGAGGAGCTAGTATAACCCTTGTGCAATCTTTGCCTTTGCTGACGACCAGAGAACCATTTCTAGCCGAGATCACATCGCCGACATCACATAATCCAAAGACTGCTGTGTGATCAGCTGCTTGCCCATGTTGAATGACACAACAAAAAAGCAAAATTGCAGCCCTAAATAATCGCATTTCAAACGCGGCCATGGCGAAATAAGTCCGCTAGGGATTATTTCTAGAAATTAAGTCTCGAGGTGTTTGTATACTGCTCAATGTGCCTGATTGATGACCGTAAATTTATTTGCTTGTGACGAAGTTAGGCAAGCTGGTGTGATATTTTATCTCCGTAGGAAGAGATTTTGTAATATATAACTATGTAAATAGTTAAAAAGTTGCTTTTATATTAGTGTTCTGTTACACTACGTAACTATAGAGCTAAGTAAACAGCGTTAGCGCGCCAAATTCCTGAATAACACAGCGAAGCTTGTCTGCCAAGACTGCCATGGCGCAGCTTATATAAAAAGACCACAAACGTACGTTAAGAATGTGGCGATACCACTGCGTATTTTCAACCTCTCTCGATGGAGATTGAAATTGCCAGTATGCGTACAATGGTAAAATAGACGGTTATCTCAAGTCAAACCGAAGGCAAGAGGGTGTAAGGATATTCAAGAGTTTGACTCACGAAATTCATTTAATTCAATAAGTCAGACATGACGACGTTCGTCGCAGCACCGTACAGTAGGAGGGACCAAGGCGAAGCAGCCATATAATGGAAATTACATCGCTTGGTATTTTGGTCATTCAGCGGCAGCATAAAGTGAACGAGGATTTCTTGAACAGCAAGCCATGTTATAAAATAACATGTATATAACGCGTATTCTGATTGGTCGAAAGCCGTGTTTGGATCAGGCCATCCAAACACGGAAGACTACCGTGTTGTTGTTATTTTATAAAACAATTACTTTATGGTTTCCGTGTTTGGATGGACTGATCCAAACACTTGGGAATGTTGCTCGAGTTAAGAAAAGCGGGCAAAATCACCGGCTCGTGATTTCGCTCGCTTTTCTTAACTCTCGCAACATTCCCGCGTGTTTGGATCAGGCCATCCAAACACGGAAACCATAAAGTAATTGTATATTACGCGTCAAGGTCATGTTACGCGTTTTGAATGCGATTCCTCTGGAGCAATTTCGCGCCAATTTTACCAAAGACATGGTTTCGTGTGAGAAGATACCAAACGAGGATTTATGTAGACTACATCGTGCCAACACTGGAATCCTAATAAATCAAATTAAACATAGCCTGCTCGCAGCCTGGAATTAATACACCAAGACGCAGAAATTACATCAGTACGCAGAGCGGCTTGCTTGAAGCAAAGTAAAGCCAAGATTTCCGCGAAAATATCAAACCCCTAGCTGATGCTCGGATATCGACCAGCGAAATAATCAGGCCGTGCGAAAGACGCCTGATGCTATTCAAGGAGGACAAGTGAGCTTGACATCTGTGTTAGCCTGGTGCATTCGAGAGATTAGAGAATAATGGTGGAGAATTGAATTTCAGCTTGAAGTTGGACGGCCGGCCGTTTTAGGGTAAAAACTTTATCTATTAATCTATTAAACGACTACAGTATTGCATGCAGTCGGGAATTTTTCACGACACTAATACCACCAAACTCCAGGTTATCTATTTCTGATAATTTAATATTTAATATTGACATTGACCGCCCCAGCACGCCCTCTCACGTCTGGGGGATGGGGGGATGACAATGTAGCAAAAACCTCTAACTTGTCAAAGTTTCAATGACTCTCATAGTGACAGGTTGTCAAGATTTAATGACTTTTAGATAGCTGGTTTAAACTAAGATGTGTTACTGAGTAATAATAAAATCATAAAGATATATAACTCATGTTTACTATAAATAATAATTTTACAATAAATTATTCACTTGTAGCAAAAGCCTCCAAGTTGTCAAGATTTTCAATATCTTTGGGCAACAGGTTGTTAAGACTTCAATGTCTTTAGGCAGCTGGTTTGAACTATGGTGCGTTATATATACTAACAATAAAAAGCTAGTCATGTTATAATAAATTATGCATTTGTAGAAAGAGCCTCCAAGCTGTCAAGATTTTCAATATCTTTGGGCAACAGGTTGTCAAGACTTCAATGTCTTTAGGCAGCCGGTTTGAACTATGGTGCGTTATATATACTAACAATAAAAACGTGTTAAAGATAAGTCATGTTATAATAAAGTATGCACTTGTAGAAAGAGCCTCCAAGTTGTCAAGATTTTCAATGTCTTTGGGCAACAGGTTGTCAAGACTTCAATGTCTTTAAGCAGCTGGTTTGAACTATGGTGCGTTATATATACTTAACTCGATCATGTTTATTTAAATTATAATTTTGCGGAAATAATTTGAAAGAATTATGTACCAGTATTAACAGTCCCCAACGGTTTTCAAATTCTTCAATCAGCAGCTAGTAGTTCAAGCTCTAGGACTGTGTGTCATCTAAGGCTTGTGAAGATGACTTCAGACTGTTTAATTTTAAATTACATTGTATCAAATATGAAATCTAATATATCTTCTCAGGAAAAACTTCATCTTCATGATCGGGTTTTGCTTTAAAATTTATGTTTACAGTAAATATTGTACAGTCTTTTAATATAGCTAGTTATTTTTGTACAAATTTGTAAAACTAAATTCTTGTAACATAATCACCTTGATTCTTGAATAAAAGTTTGGTAAAATCAGTGAAGACAATTCTAAAAAACGTTGAATTGTCTTCACAGTGTTGTTGTTTGGTTTTTCCTCTATCTTATTCCTATGCATGTGAGTAATATTAAATCCCTTTAATTGCATGAATTGAATTGAAGTGCATGAATTGAAGATTTGAAGTAGCTTGTACATCATTTATCCAACGTTTTCCTGCAGGCGCAGCCGTATATTAAAGCCAGAAGCGTGCCGCCAACTGTCGCTTTTAACGCGGTAGACTAGGATAATAAGTCCTCGTCTCACAAAAACATTACCACTATACAAAATGTGGTGTTTTATACGAATGCGTTGACTATAGAGAGTGTAATGCTACACCTACAGACTAAGGCCTGTTTTATACGTTGAATTTCGGTCGCGTCGAATGCAATTCAAACAATAGATATCATCTCATTATCTATTGTCAATATTTGTCATTGCATTCGACGCAAAATTCGACGAATAAAACAGGCCTAAAGAAAGAGAGAAAGATAGATAAATATTAGGAGGCAAACAAAATTAATTATGCAATAAACTTTTGCTCGGAGAGAGTACGCTTCCACGTTTGCCAAAAATGAAAGCTTAGGCCAAGTTATAGATTGTGTGAATATTACCCGCATGTGTCACAATCAAATTAAACATACAAATTAATAAATAACCGGAAAATGAAACTAAACCGCAATCATATTTCAGAATCACACACTGAGATGTAGTTGACGTATATGCAGTTCATCATAACAACCATTTTGAAAACTGGTCCTCTAATTATTTGGGCCGCACATTGTCTTACACTAAGTGTACTTCTCCCATTACCCATCCATTAATACACCAAAAAAATACCCCCGGAATTATATACTCGTGTCCACTCTCCGACGGTGCTATTCACGTCACCAATCTCGTTCCCCGAGCCTGCGATCCTTGGGATCGTCACGGAACACCACTTGAAACGAATCTTGCGCAAACTTTGGTTATATCGTCATGTTCTCGTGGGGACAAGATCACACAGAAATATGACGATAATACTCAGACTTTCGCCAAACTTTTTGTAATACAGTTTGAGCCCGGAAAGCAAGATAAAAACAGATTGCAGATTTCTCATCTAACTTTCATTGGAATTCAATCAAAATTTGACGGAGTTGTCCTTAGCTGACGATTGTTAGCTCTACAAATTTTCGTGTCAAACAGTTCCTTGGAGTTATTCTGCTTGGTCAAACCATAGCCTGCGGTCAAGATATGCTTATTGGACGATTACTTCATTATACGAAAATACAATGAGCTCAATCACCGTTCCCGTGACTCATATAAACTCATACAAAAACATAAGACAATGACTTCTGTTAGTTTCCAGACCGTCATATCTTGATAGACTATGGTCAAACACACATATGAGACATATGAAGGCATGGAAAACAAGTTGATAAACATAACTTCCTGAGTCCTGGCGGTAATTATTAACACTTAATAAAGCGAGACTTACCAGGGGGAGGCGACGTTGTACGATTTGACGTCTGGTTGGAAGCTAAAGGAACAACAAGAATACTAATTAGAATTTAAAATCTTTTTTAAAAACGTCCTGGTTTTTTAATCAGCATGATAGACAAAGTTGGCTAAGATTGTTTACGTCATTGCTGTCCGCACAAATTGTTCAAGATCTGCAAACAAGTTGTAATATCAGGATGTGTTCGCACTGCTTGTTCCCATTTGTTGTGACAAGTCTGGAACAAGTTGTTATCGCCTTGTTACAAGGTTGATGACGGAAACAGACTTGCTACAAGTTGTTCCAACAAGACTATTAAAAAACTCATTAATAATTCATGATAAAACACAAGGAAAAATCATAAGCGTGTCGTATCTGTGTATGTGATACAGATTCATGTTGATTTACATAAACTCGGCTTAGACGACGTTTATTTTTAAAATTACTTCACCAATGAATTAATAAGATGAGACGTTTTTTTAGCCATTTACAACATTCGCGTCCGTGTTGTATCGGATATACAAACTCTCGCCTTCGGCTCGAGTTTGTATATCCGATACAACACGGCCGCTCATGTTGTAAATAGTACATACAGGCTGCTCGTAACAAGTTGCTACAGGCTTGTTGTCATCAACTTGTTAACAACTTGTTGCATGCAGACGATATAAGACTTGGTCTGAGTTGTGTTCGCATTGCTTGTTCCTAGTTGTAACAAGCTTGATGGTATTATCTAGGCTTGTGACAAGGTTGTTTGTTCAAGTCTGATACATTCATGATATAACAAGAATGTTACAAGGTTGACGACACAAGGTTGTAACAATAGCCGAATTCATATTAGAGACGGGAAACTCGTCTTAGACGGGAAACTCGTCTCAGACGGGAAACTCGTCTAATATGAATCCGGGCGCAGACGAGTTTCCCGTCCGAACTTTCCCGTCTAACTTACCCGTCTAAACAGACGGGAAAGTTAGACGGGAATCTCATCTAGACGGGAAACTCGTCTTAAATTCGAATTTACCCGTCCCTAAATTCATATACAGACGGGTTTTCGCAGACGAGTTTCCCGTCTAAGATGAGTTTCCCGTCCCTAATATGAATTCGGCTAATATTGTTATATCATGACTGTATCGGACTTGTTGGAACAACCTTGCGACAAGTCCAATAATATTAACAAGGTTGTTACAAGTTGTTAACAGCTTGTGGACAATTTGGGACAAGTCATATAAACAAGATGTGAGATTTTTACGCCTGTGTATGATCATAATGCAAAAATCTCACATCTTGTAACAAGTTTGTCAACATGCCGTCAACAAGTTGTGTTCGCACTGCTTGTCCCAAGTTGTCAACAAGTATATGGAACAAGCTGTAATTAACAACTTGTAACAACCTTGTTGATATTATCAGGCTTGTTACAACATGTTCAGCTACGAATACGCATGACGATCACATGATCGTTATTGAAGTTCATTAGTTCCGGGTACGAGTTTGCAGTCCAATTACAACAGAGCATTAATATATCATAAATTTATATTATAGCTATACAATGAGAGAATATATAGTAGGTGGCTTACCTATACAATATGCAAGGTAACAATGGTCTGGTGGCTTCAACCGATAAACATAAAAACCACTGCAGTTTAAAACCGTAATTTTATAAGAGTACGCACAGCCGTGTGGCAGACTGAATGGTAGAAACGCACAAGCTTTTCGAAACACTTTCCCATCGGCTACAGTCGGGTGAGAACCATTTATCCATATAGGAGAATATGTACCACAATGGTTAATTTTGGGCCTTGTTGTTGCCAATTGGTTACCATTCGCTATTTCAAAGCGATACCATATTGATTCTTGAATTACACTTCTGTCGCATAATAATATATTCCCCGCTTGCGTTGGCTTGCTTGTGCTACGGCGTTCGTCACGTATTGTAGTGTAGTTGAGATTTTTACAAATGTTTCTAGTTCCTCCATAATTTATCAAAGTAACGAAGATATAATATATTAACACAAGATTAGGCAGGAACCACTGGGATAATGCCATCACTGAAACGAATGTTGTTCGTAATCAACTCAGCAATGACAGCACAGTGTTGTCTTGAACTAAGTCTAAGAAGGAAGTTCGTGTCATGCATCATGTTAAATTACAGGGGTTTCAGAATGATTTGAAGTAGGCGGCTGTACCAAAAAAGTAGCCGGCTGGGGCGTGCCCTCCCATGGAAATTTAAAAAAATTTCGCCGCAAATTAACAATCAAATAACATACAAAAAGTAAAAAGACAAATACAACTGTTAACATGTTAGATTTAGATGTCATTTGCATAAGTGACAATGTACTTTAATGTGCTACTGTAACTAGTAGTTTAATTTTTACAGCTGCATGAATAAAATGACAATGTACACTATTAGTATTAATTTATGAGTCCGAAATCATTAATCAAATGAAGTTATACTTATGTACGTAATGAACTTTACTTCATCACTTTATCATAATTAATTAATTCACTGTCAAGAATTAGTCACTTGAAAAACATTTACCAAAGTAGCTTTGAATCTGACTCGTTCTCTGGCTCACTGGAAAATTCGGATTCCCCAATGTTAAGCACTGCCAGAGTCAATCAGAGTCATCTTCCTGTTCAGACTGTTCAGGAAGATTCAGAGCCGCTGACCATTTGCATCTTATTGATCTTCCAAAATAAGTGATGTTTTGCATGCTTGAATTCCAATTGGAACATAACAAACACCGTGTTGGTTCGCTTGTATCTTTGTACATAAAATTTTCCCTGTGACCAGACGAAAAGTACCCGGCGGTAAAAGTTCAAGTAGCCGGCGGAACTCCGGCGGCCGCCGGGGCTTATTCTGAAACCCCTGTTTAAATTATCCGCCTGCTTGTTGCGGAGTCTGCCAACAAACCGTCGACAAGTTGTGTTCGCACTGCTTGACCCAAGTCGTCAACAAGTTTGGAACAAGCTGTTAACAACATGTAACAACTTTGTTGATATTATCAGACTTGTTGCAAGGTTGTTCCAACAAGTCCGATACAGTCATGATATAACAATATTGTTACAACCTTGTGTCATCAACCTTGTAACATTCTTGTTATATCATGACTGTGTCAGACTTGTTAGAACAACTTTGCTACAAGTCTGATAATGCCATCAAGCTTGTTACAAGACCTCAGACCCGGAAAACTCAGACCCGGAAAATTCAGACCCGGAAAATTCAGACCCGGAAAATTCAGACCCGACTGAACTGCATCATTTAAATTTTGTCATCGTTTCATTCAATTAGCCTTTCTCATGCCGCCATCTTTGGGTGGCATTTCAGCCGACGTCTGCGAGATAAGTCCACATAACAGCGACTTTTTATCATTTTTTGGACGAATGATGGTAAATTTGCTTTGTAAATGGTTAGTTTATTTTGAAAAATTGCTTTTCACATTGTTTTAATTGTCTGCATTGGTTAACAAGAATTAGATGCCACCCAAAAATGGCGGCATGAGAAAGGCTAATTAAATGAAACAGTGACAAAATTTAAATGATGCAGTTTTCGGGGTCTGAATTTTCCGAATCTGAATTTTCCGGGTCTGAGTTTTCCGGGTCTGAGTTTTCCGGGTCTGAAGTCTGAGGTCTGATATTTCTTGGTCTGTGTTTTCCAAACACCCTATGTTTTCTATCTCTTAAACAGGGAACTTAAACATGAAGTTAAACCATAGTTATGGTTAAACCTATTCCAAATACATTTTCAAACTATTCAAATGATGAAAGTTATTGTTGTTTTTTAAGCGTTTATTAGCGAGTGGGAAACTTCAACATGGCCGCCATCTATTCAAATGGGGGTAACCGCTGGAATATTCTTGGCTTCAATTTTACTAAAAGAGATGCGCTATCTAGTGTATATAAGATATCTATGTGCTACGTGGTTGTAGCCAGTTCAATGGTTGTAGCTGGCAGGCGTTTACCCTTGATCCCCCCCGGCAGCCTAGACCTAGGCCTTCTATTTTTATTTATATTTTTTTAAGATTCAGCGCTTTTTCACATGAAAAGACTGGGACCAGGTGATTTGGGGGCGGGGCGGAGGAATGACACAAGCTTCCTTCGCCCCGCCTCCAAATCACCTAGTCCCAGTCTTTTCATGTGAAAAAGCGCTGAATATTAAAAACATATAAACAAGACCATCCTCGTTCCCAGGCCCAAGCTCGGGCGGCCCTCACAGTGGCCCTGGTTCAGGCACAGGAGGCCCAGGCTCGATTTGCCCGCGCCCGCCTGTGCCTTCCTTATAACGAGGGAAGGACGGAGACATTGAGACCAAAATAGCCCAGACTTGGCATATGTCACACGAAACTATCCTCGATTTTTCGCTTTTAATGCATTT